TTCCCACCATCCCCACTGCTACCACCCTAGGCCAAGCCAAAATTAATGTGACCTAGATTAGTGAAAGGGACCCCTGACTTCCTTGTTCTACCCTTCTTGAGAAATATTATCAACCAGCAACCCAAGTAATTTACACAGTAACAGAAAAGTATGGTCATGCCACTCCTCTTCTGAAAACTCTCAGTAGCTGCCACCTCTTAACACCCTTCTCCCTTTATTCTACTTATTATACTGGAATGTCAGCTCCACAAAGTTACGAATGTTTATGTTTAGTTCACTGATGTATCCTAAGTGCCCAGGATGATGTCTGACACATGTTAGGTATACAACTAACATTATATTAACTTGAATGTTTATTGTCTAACACTATCTAGATCCCACTAGACTGTCCCCAAGGCCAGGGATTTTATCTGCTTGTTCACTGATGTATCCCACAAACATCTAATTAGGAAGGTTGTAGATAGGTGTGTACTGTAATTTTTACCATCTATATTCAAGCCTAGAGCATATGGAGAGTACCCTACTCTAAAGCAATTTTTTTTGAGAGATTTTTGCTATAGGGCGCATGTGCTCTCCAGAAAGACAGAGAGAGACAGAGAGACAGAAAGCGAGAAATCAGCCCCCAGGAGGGGGTGGCCACATCGCAATCCCTTCTCCTCCATTCTCTTCTCGGGATCTTGGGCACGCACACACACACACACACCGGGCGTGAGTTTAAGCTGCTGGGTCCGGGACTCCAACCACGGTCGACTACATGGGAGTCCAGCAACATAGCCATTACGCTAACTCCTGGTCCCCTCTCCAGCAATTTAACTATGATATACAAAATTTCCCCTCTCTCAGGACTTGGTCCCAAGATCTATTTTCTTCTGTATCTATAACCTTCCTATATGTGATTCACAATCTAATGGCTTTATTCTTTTTTAAATTTTTTAATTTAATTTCATTTTTATTTATTTTATACATTCAATCACATATGTCGCTTAGCTTGTAAAGTTAGTGTTCCAACATGAATACATTTCTTAACAGTCCAGTTGACGATACTATACACATTATCATCAACTGATAATAATCCATTTCTTTATTCTTTTTAAAATAAACAAAAACTTTTCTTATCACAAAAGCAAGACATGTACACTGTAGAAAATTCAGAATATAGATAAAGGGAAATAAGAAAAATGTCATATTCTCACCACACACAGATTACTATTGTTAATATGCCATTAGCAGATATTTTTATGCAAACATACTTTTTTCAAAATGAGAGTATACTGTTCATGTTTCCTATATAGCTTTTGTCCATTAATACTCTCCATCTTTCCATGTCAATGATTTTTTATATCATCTAATATTTAGCCCATATTCAAATTTCCCCAATTATCTCCAGAATCAATGAGAAAATGTAGCTTAAAAACAAAGTTTTGTACCTTTGCATATGTGGCACCTTATGACCAGGCTACCCTTCTTTGCTTTAGACTATCTCCGAATTCATAACTAACCTCTGAAATTCTGTACAGTCATCTGTGCCTCTTAGAAGCTTCCCCTGAACCTCCTTGCCCTCTCCAGGTCATGCCTTCCCCTATGCCAACTCATTACTTTGTACCAAAGCACCTCTACTGCTCTATTCTGAGTACTTATTTTGTTTACAAACCCATTATACGCCCTTCCAGACTGTGTCCTTGTTGAAAGTCAATACTGGACCTTATTTCACCCCAAACAATATCTGACATTTCATAAATATTAAGAATGCTGGCACATGCACATAGCAGATATCTGTAAATATTTATTACAGTGAACTAACTTCATAGACTATATCAAATGATAGACATAAAGGTTTTAGAACAAGTATACCTTTGTCCTGTGCATATCAGTTATAAAATCTTGTTAAAGTCATAATCTCTGTGAATTTGTCATCTCATTAGCAAAATTAGAAGGATGAACTAGGTAACTAAATGTTACAATCCTAGATGCTTTGGAATAAGGTCTTTAGTATTCAATCAATTATGCTTTCAAAATCATCTTTACACCAGCAATATCAAATGTTGGCAAAGAAACGCAACAACTGGAACTTTCATTCATTGCTGGTGCGAGTGTAACACAATACAACCATCTTGGAGGACTTCTGGCAGTTTCTCATAAAATTGAACATACGCTTATCATAGAACTCAGCAATTCCATGTCTAGGTATTTACCCAGGAGAAATGAAATCAAATGCCTACACAAAGACTTAAAGCCCAAAGGGGAAACAAACCAAATGTCTATCAACAGGCAAACATAAAAATTGTAGCATATCCACACACAATGGAATATGACTCAGCACTAAAAAGGAATTTACTGACACAACCCCACCAATGACTCTCAAAGCACTGTACTAAGTATAAGAAGCCTGAAACAAAACAGTACCTGCTATATGCTACCATTTACATGAAGTTCAAGAATAGACAAGCTAGGAGTCAGCAGATGGCATAGTGGTTTACATAACTGAACTCCCACATTGCTGACCATGGTTTGAGTCCAGACCCAGTGGCTTGAATCTCACTCTGTGAACGTGTTCGTGCATGCCCAAGATCCCGGGAGGATAATGGAGGAAAAGGGATTGCGGAGTGGCCATCCCCCCCCCCTCCCCGAGGGGGGGTGATTTCTCACTTTCCCTTCTGATTGTGTGTCTCTTGAACACCCCCCCCTTTCCCAAAAAAAGGGCAAAAAAAAAAAAAAAAAAAAAAAATAGACAAACTTATTTTGGTAAAAGCAAAAAATCCTAACAATGGCTGCCAAGGATGTTGGGGGTGGCCATAAAAGGGGCATGAGGGGACTTCCCTGGGTGATAAAAATGTTTTACATATTGATCTAAGTAATGCTTACAGAATTGGAAATATTTGTTAAAATTTATTAAACTGAACATTAGACAGACGTGGACTTTTTATTGTATACACGTTATACCTCAATTTTTTAAGAGAGATTTTTGCTATAGGGCATGTATGCTCACCAGAGAGACAGAGAGGT